GAGGTGTTTGAGCGTGAACGCGGCTCCAGAAGACGATAACGGTGGACGTAAATGACCTTGTTTCCAGTCTAATTTGAATGTCGGGGCTTATGGACACTCGGATGACACCACAGGAGCCCCTGAAACTCCAACATTGTTTGATGGACTGGAACACTTCACCCCACCCCTCCATCGGCATAGTGATGAGTGGATAACGACTTGATTTTTTTATTTTTTTTTATTTTGGGGCGAACTCTCCCTTTAACTCGGTTTTGGCCTCCACATGGAACGTCTTCACCTCGGGAGATTTATTTTGAAAGTGCGCAGCGGAACGTCCTCGGGTCGTTGCGGGCCGCTGACAGCCGGCGAGCCTGTGAAAGTGTAGAGTGTCTCGGGTCCAGGAGGAGAGAGACCATGTCCGCCGTCACGGTGCAGCTGTCCTCACCTCCGCTCCCGTTCCACACTCGTTCTCCATGAAAGAACAGTAGCGCGCGGCCTCCAGGATGGCCAGCTCGGTGAGTACGGTTGCCGCGGGGTCTTGCCGGTGTGTCGGCCTCTAACGGGACCGGGTTTATCGGGACGTTTCGCTGCTGTGTCACACCGGAGGAGTCGGTGGCTTTCAGTCCGCAACGAGGATTTTTTCCCCCAGCTAGCAGGAGCCTATACGTGCTGATCCAGAATCAGCCGTGCAAGTCGAAATTCCTTTCAACAAACGTCCCATTTAATGAATTTTCTCTATTTTTACGCAAAAAAAATAGTTTTCACCCGTGCGTAAATTTCCAACATGAATTCTTGCACTCCACAGTTTTATTCGGCGCAGTGTTGCACACTGTACGCGCATTATTATACGAATCGGATAAGATGTCAACTTTCTGAATTGGTTTTTCCTCGTTATTCTCGTGTCATCATCTTTGGATGTTGTTTTGCAAAGCTGACGCAATTTGCAGGAGTTTGAAGTGCGTGGAAACGTGTTCTGCTTCACGCGTGGATGTTTAATTCAAGAGTTCCCCTGCAGGCTGCAAGTCAGGTTGTGGCGTTAAATCTGCACTTTTCTCAACGGACTTCTCAATGCAGGGTCATGGATACGCACTGGGCTGCAATGAGAAGAGAAAAAGTTCTTAAAGCAGCAAATCAATCCGCATAAGGATGTATTGTTTTTCTCTAAATGATGGCCATGGAAATGATTCTCATGCTCTGTCAACCAGGTGCAGTGTTCCGGTGGATTCATTTCAAATTTGAGCAATAAATCCAACATCCTGTTTTTTTTTCCCCCCCTCAGGGTGCTGTTCAGGTGAAACTAGAACTCGGTCACCGTGCCCAAGTCAGAAAGAAACCCACAGTGGAAGGCTTCACCCACGACTGGATGGTGTTTGTCCGAGGACCGGAGCACAGCAACATCCAGCACTTTGTGGAGAAAGTGGTTTTTCACCTGCACGAAAGCTTCCCCAAACCAAAAAGAGGTAAACACTGGAGTATTTCTGCAGGTGTGCTCTGTGTTTTCTTCTGTGGCAGCTTGTTTCCCTGTGTTGTGAGAGGAGGAGCTGGTTCAGACCCTTATCGGAAAGCATCCACAGTGCTCGTGGGCCCCTCATCAAGCCACAGAGTCACTGTGGTTGACATTTTTCATGGTGTCAGTAAAAAAAAAAAA